AAGAACTGTACAGGTCAACCAAGATGAATGGCCATCCTGTGTAAAAGTCAAGAGTGAAATCTATGCTTTGAAATAATCATCTGAAGACATAATTAAGAACATCACCACTAGTATCAATGAAATTTTAGAGCAGAATGCAATTCAAGAGATTCTTAGTTAATCCACTTACAGAGGTAGTAAAGCCAAGGTGTAGCCATAGTAACCAAACTATCCAAGCTACACAACAAGGTAGGTGGTTGTGTATAAAGTAGAAACCTTGTCTCATGACTTAAATTTTCTTTCCATTCTCCTATACTGTAAGTAAAAGGCATTTTTGTGGATCCATATGATGCTCTACAGTGTGCATATAGCTTGTTAAAATAGTCTTGAAGAAAAGAACCAAAAGATTGCAAAAGGCAATATAAAAATTAAAACAGAATAAATGTTACAATTTTGATCTTAGAAGGAACAGCACAGCTGCACTTTCCTTTCTTTACAGACTACAATCAAAGGAAGTGAATGTTGCCCTCTGCAAGGCTGGTTTACTTTTACTCATTTACGTAGAGCTACGTTTACATTATAAGACACTGGCAGATTATTCAGAAGAGGGAACTCCTAGAAGCTGGAAATCTTGCATGGCACTCCTGTCCCTCATCCCAAGAAGCTCTTGGTATCCCGAGAAATTTTACTAGCAATTATTTGCAATTATTTGCTTTTTGAGAACAGCCTTAGAGAAAGCTTCTCACTCTCTCTTTTTTTAAGATCTTAAACAGTAGTGTGCATTTTAATGTACATTTTCCTGGTTTGGAAAGTTTCTCTTTAAGATGAGCAGGTCTTATGGAAACATTTAGATATTAAATATTCTAAGTAAAACAAATGTTATGAAATTTAAGTAATGCACATAAAAAGTATAATTTTAAAAGTACCATTAATATTGTTATATTCACATTTTAAAAAGCCATTTAATCAGAGGAGTTGGTAAATTTCCTTATTTCATATATAAATCAAGTCTTTCTATTTTTTTAAAGAATTTATTTATTTATTCATTAGAGACATGGAGAGACAGAGGCAGAGACACAGGCAGAGGGAGAAGCAGGCTCCATACATGGAGCCCAACGTGGGACTTGATCCCAGGACTCCAGGATCACGACCTGGGCCCAAAGAAGGCGCTCAACCGCTGAGCCACCCAGGTGTCCCAATGTCTTCTAAAGTAAACATCCGTCTCAAATTTGATCATCAGTCAGAAGAAAAACATTTTTAAAAAGCATATTTACTTTTAAGTAGGAAAGTAAACAGAATTCTATGGGACATTTTAATGAATATTCTTTTATAAAAATTCTCTGACTCTGTAACAAACAAAAATACATTTCTCGCCTGTCACTTGCCCTGCATTCAGGATGGCCGAACAAACCTCATCTCATCTATCTGAAATGAATCCAATATAATTTTGCTTGATCAAAAATCTGTTTCCATAGTTCTAAAACATGCAATCACCCCAAGGTATATTGTCATTGTAGCTTAAGTGGCTCAGTGTTATCACTGAGGAAAATATACTTTGATTGAGAAAACAGTCCAGTATGGCTTTTGAAAAATAAAATGACCCTTCTTCATAAACAATTGAGTAAGGCAGTTGATAAAAGCAGGCAGATACAGCCATAGAGATAGGGTTTAAAGAAAGATGCTTCATCTAATCTGCAAAAATGGGTCAAAGGTTTCTGTCCTGGAATTAGCATTGCAAATCACTCTCTTATTTAAACTTCTAAAACTGACAATTCTAACAGTTTAAATTCTAGGAATATCAGTGATCTCTTCATAGTTGAAGGGCAATTTAAAAATCAATTGTGAGGTAAAGAGAATTTGCAACAAATTACTCTGTTACTCAAAAATAAATAACTTGCTTCCTTCCTTAGTAGTTTTTTTCCATATATGCACGCTTTATTACCTGAATACACATACATATCATTATAAAATATAATTTTAAAACCTGTTGGTCCAACCTGAAAATACTGTTGCCACAATGGACTATTTGTGGCATATTAATCCAAATTATTTAATTGCTGTTATTTGTCTGTTAAAATCTAAAGATTAAAAATATCTATTTTTTAATGAACCCAGTAATCTTTTATTTAAGTCAATATCTTCTCAAATGAACCAAATAATCACTAATTGATTAGATCATTTACTTTCATAAACCACTGCTGTCTTTAAACATGTAATGGCTTATAATAAAAGAGACTCTTTTCATTGGAAATTAATGCATAGTTAACTGTTTTCCTTTTGTATTAATTAATACTATAAAATGCATAACTTTATTTTTTCATTTCTAGGTACTGAGCTTGCAAATGCAATAGCTATTTTGCACGTTTTCTCAAAAAACAGAATTTCTTAACATGTACCAGTTACTAACTGATAAAATATATTCTAGGAAAAGTTGTTAAGTCTTTCTTTATTTTGGGATACATTTGGTTTACCTAGGAGCTTAGACAATTATAATAACAATAAGATGAAATAAGGCTACTAAGAAAAATCTCTGATTATTTCAAATATTATTTCCAGGAACATTTCTAATTCTGACTGTCCTACAATGTCCTCTTATGAATTATCTCATATAAAAGAAATAGTTTATCAATCACTTTATTTTTCATTTTCTTATATCAAATTCAGCTTAAATAAACAATAAGCCAACAGCCATAATAATAAATCATTAATGGTATAGTAGTGAATATCAAATGGAGTTGACAGATATGCCTAAATATGTCTAAAGTTTTAAATTCACAAGTCTTTATCCAAGGGACTAATTGTTATTATTAACCATCTTAGAAGGAAAACAAGATAAATTCAACAGAAAGATTATACTATGAGCACACATACCCACTAAAATGTATATCGCATAAGGACAAGGGTATTTGTTCATTGTTCATTGTCCAGTGCCTAGGACAGTGTATGTATGGCACAGATAGAATGATCAATAAATATAATTTTTTTTCAATAAATATAATATTAATGAACACCTGGTGAGACAGCTCATTTTACTTTGTGGCCAAATGCAAATCAAAAATAAAGAGGGTGGCAGAGAGAAAGAGAGAGAGAAAGAAAGAAAGGAGAAGGAAGGAAGGAAGGAAGGAAGGAAGGAAGGAAGGAAGAGGGGAAAGAGAAAGAAAGAGAGAAAGGAAGTAAGGAGGAAGGAAAAAAGGATAGTGCATATAGGCACATACTATATAATACTACATATATGAATTTACAGATCATCTCTGTAGAGTTTTCATCATCTGTCTTCTCGTAAGATATTTTTTCTCCCTTTCTATTCTGTTCTTCCCACTCCTTCATATTGAAAGTAAGAATCAGAATCTGTTTTCTTCTTTCTCTGGTAAACATAAGTTAATTAGTAGACACAGTACTGATAGGAACAAATTCACCTTATTCTACTCTTTCCGAATTTGACAGTTAAGTCTGTTTCAAACACTTGAAATAAAAGAAATGTAAAAATAGTTGTTGTCATTCTTGTTTCTTTAGAAGGCAGTTTTCTAGAAAAGTTAGGATCATGCATTTGGAAAAGCTTTATATGGCATCTACTAGGTATATTCATTCACTATTAAAAACAAAAGGAAACAATCTAGACCAAGGAGAGCACACAATTCCGAAAGACAACACAACAGAATATATACAAAGGCTATAAATGTCTTTAGGGATCTAGTAGCATTTAACAGCATATCAGCATTCTAATAGCATTCTCTGAGGCAGAGAGGGTTTTTTTCCTCCTTATTCTTTACTGATGCAATGCCAGGGCCTGATACACACCAGGAGATTACTAAGTATACCTTGACTGAATTAATATGATTCTAAGTTATAAAAGTTTGGGATTTAAAAATTATATTTTTCAAGAATTTTAGATGTAAAACATAAACCCATTGAAGTGAATTCTCGGTGAGGGCAGTTAATCACATATAATACAAAATATGTTAGCACAAGACAGTTTTTCAAGTATCATATTTTGGGTCTTTATCTTCAGATAAACTAATGGTGCATTTTTCTTATAGAGCAAGGGCAGGCATAGTGATTATTTTGAATTAAGTTACCAAGGAACAGCCAGATCAAGAACACCATGATGCCCCTTTGCCTTCATAAAGCAGAAAATAAATCTCCCATCTTAAACGTGTCTTCCCTGTACCATGAGGTAAAGAGACATCCATGTCACCAGACATTGGAAATGCAGAGCCAAGAAGGCTTTATAAACAAACCTTGTTACATTTACTATTTTATTACCCCAGCCCAAATCCTATTTAGAATTCCTTAGTAATTGAAGCTTCCAAACCTAAGTTTTCTTGCTCTGTAAATCTCTTACAGATATGTTTCTTTGTCTAAAAAAAAAGTATAAAAGCTCACTGTCTTGGTCATTTCTTAGAGCCTCATTTTCATGATTGAGACTGTGTACATGTATCAAACTTTTTTTTTCCCTCCTGTTAATCTGCCTCATGTCAATTTCATTCTTAGACCAACCACAAGAAACTTGAAGTGTAGAATAAAAACTTTCCCCCTCAACAACACTAAACAATAGCCCTATCATTCACCATGAGAACCACATACCTATCAATTCAAAATTCTGAGGGCCTCAAAATACAATAGAAATTTGTATGCAATTTTTCTTCAAATTTGTTTTGTCTTATTTTGATGATGTGTGGAGCCTGAACAAATAAGGCCTTCCAAATACTTCACTAAGTTACTTGTTTATTTAACTTAAAAAGTGAAAACCCTGTGTAATTAGCAGCAGTCCCCTCGGCTTGGGCTAGACTAAGGTTATTCATCAAGACTACCAGCTAGCAGCTAACACCCAATACAAAGCAGCAAATCTCAAATCAACAGTGTACACACATTTCACATTCAAACTGCTACTAAGCAAGACTCAGAGAAAGCCACAGTCCCTGAGATCAGAAACAATCCCATTTTGGAAAAGACACATATGCGGAAATGCCTACTTTCACAACCACAGTTCCAAAACAAAGGAATGAAAGCCACATACTCACCTGGCTAATGGGTTCTTTTGTAGGGGGCTTTCCTCTTCTGGCTGTGCTAGTAGCTAGGGTTGTGGTGGTCTCCATAATTGATGTGGACATCTCTGACTGCATGGCAGTGGCTGTCGACTCAGTTGTCATTGAGGAAGGCACTTCACCAACAAGTCTCACATTTCCCACTATGATGATGTTGGCATCATTTTCGGCTGCCATATTCAGAACTTTCAAGCCATTGTAGTAAAGCCCAGAGAGCTGGCCCTGGAAGGGCTGGCCCTGCTCTTTCCCGCCAATTATTATGGTTGCTTGGCTATTGAAGATTGTGAGCTGACGCCCTGTAAAAATAATATTACATACATGCAAAAATGTTGATTGTGAACTCTACATTCTACAAAGGATGATAAAACAGATCTTTCATGGGGTGGATAATGAGAGCAATAAACTATAAGAGAGGCATTTGACTCATAATTCATTGCTTATAAATGAGGTGTCCATGAAATGCATAATCATTGGCAAATACTTGTAAATTCTCAAATTATTGTAAATGTAGTGCTTTTGCTAAAAGACCAATCAAAGATACGTATTATAAATCAGTTTTTAGTGGATCCCTTTTCCCTTTTACCTCACGATCTTATACTGTTGGTCTCCTAAATCTAAATTGTTGAATTTAAAAAATGTGAGATATCTAACATTTCAAGTATTTGTCATTCTACAATTACCACTGGCAGAAACTAATCTAGAGCAGCTAAATCTAATTTTAAATTTATGATAAAAATTTCATAGTTCACATAATGGCCACATGTATCTATATGCTATTCTTTAAAAACGTTTATTTTTTGAAGGCATAGTCCATTGTTATTTGAATTATTCTATTTTTCCGGCAATCACACTGAAAAGAAATGCATGGTTTACACTGAGCATGTCAGAGACAAAAAAAAAATCCAAAAATATTTTTCTGATTGGCTTTCAGCAAGTCTATTAAAACAAAACAAAATGAAAAAAAAAATAGCTTCAGATGTAAAAAGCGGCTTCAGGAATGATACACAAACCGATGGAGAAATTATGGCACATTTCCATCAAACAGCAATCCTCAGCAACAGTACCAATATCATCAAATTGAGTATCCAGTTTTAGCAGATTGCTCTCTGCTCATAAAAAGCATGCACACAACTTTAAGTTCAGTTTTAATTAGGGCTTGTTCTCAAATGCTCTTAGAAGGTTGCAAACGTTAAAGGGACTTCATTTTGACTGGCAATCCATATTGCCCACTATTTAAGATGCCTAGAGTTTAAACCAAGAGTTTTGTTTTGTTTTGTTTTGTTTTGTTTTCAGGACCATAATAAAGATATCAGAACTACATATATTTTAGTTAATAATTTAGAGGCTGGAACATGTAATATAATCTATGAATGATTTATCATTTTGGGTTAATGCTTGCTGTGAGTACCTTCATAGATTGAGTTAGTGGATTATATTTAACAGTCCCTTTAACCTTAAGTTAACAGGGTAAGATTATTAAACAGCTGGTACGTCTAAAAATGTATAGAAATTATTATACAAGGTATGCAAATATTACTATCTACATTTTACTGTTTTAAATTTGTTTTTAATTTAGTTTTACGGAAAATTTATTTTTTATGTTTATTAGTGTTACAATGAAGTACTACTTGGTTATGTTCAAATTATTTTTTTATTTGAAGTTTTAATCAATGTTTTTTACCTTTGTCGAGTAGCCATTCATCAACTACTCGACCAAGTCGATATGGAATTCGCTGTCTAGCAATCGCCAGGCGCTCGTTATCATTGTTTCCTTTAAAGTTTAAAGAGACATTTCATTGGTTAAAATCTGTAAGGTCAAAGGTTAAAAGTTAATACTTAAAGCTTGAGCTATACAGTTGCCACATGATTTTTTGAAATTTGGAATTTTAAAAAGTTCTACCTAGAACATTTCATGTTTCAGACTTGTCATTCATTCATTTATTTTATTTTAGCAAACAAAATTATTCCTATGTTAATTGAAAATTAGAAATCTGCATTTGAGCTAGGTTATTAAACTTATGTTATAGACAGACCCGAACAACCAATTTAAACAGCATATAATAGCTTTACAAAAAAATGACCATTGATCTCAGGGTTTTGTCTTTTTGATGTTTCTTATTAACTAGTTAAACATGTTCAGGTGAAACAGGTTTAAGTTTTCAAAATACATTCAACCTCTTATTCCAGATTAGTAATTTATGAACACCAAACTTCATACCATCTTTGGCACACTGAAGCATCTAAAATAGGCCTAGAATACTTTATGTCCTATTCAAAAAATAGAAATTCTTATTCATCTCATTTAAGGAAACCACAAAGTCTGAATAGTTCTTGTATATTCCACACAAATTGGTTTATCAATAACTTGGACATCACAAGGGAATACATCTTGTATCATCCAAATATGTTATTACAGGAAAAGGCTTTGACAAAAGTGACTTTGTTTGAGTGTCCTCCAGTTTCACTTAAAGCTTAATGTGTTGAAGTGTATAACATTTGAAAAAAAATTATATGTATGCTCTTTTATCCTCAAATATCTGCTTTTATTAAACTATTCTAAAGAAGGCATGACAGTATAAGGAACAAATACAATCCACAAACAGTGGTTCCGTTCCTACTCAGAGATTCAAACTAAGTGGGAGCCTTGCTTCTTTGAACAAAACCTTATCTGATAGAAACACAGTTTAAACTGACCTTGAATAATGCTTGCAAATAGATGAATGTACACTTGGTCTAGAAAGCACTTAGGAGGAATCTAGGCTGCCATCTCAGTGCTCAATTGTATATATTGCAAGAAGTTTTTCTATTCTGTGAAAATTAACTAACATGGAATTTGAGCTAAAACATTTTGGCAAAAGCTCAGAGGAGAACTCAGAGAAGGAAATACTGGAAGGTAGTACTCCTGACGAGAAAAGACTGGAACATTTTGCTCAAAAAGATAATGGATATAAATTTTTCTCAGAATAATTTGTAAGTGCTTTCTTATACTTTTTTAGTATAAAAATACTAATATTTTAGTGTAAAATAAGCTTAGTATAAAAAATACTAATAGTACTACTGTAGTATTCTTATACTATTTTATTATACTTACCACAATAAAGCTACCATTATATTGGTCACACACTTTTAGAGAAGTAGACAAGAACTGTCACTTAGATCTTATCAATTTGTCCTTTGAATATCAATTTGACCAATAATATTTCATGCATTAGTACTTAATTTAAAATGTAAATATGTTGTATTCTTGAAACTAGCATAACGTTGTGTGTCAACCAGGGATAGTTTTAGTATACTGATAATCTAAAAAAAAAAAACCCAAGGATACAAACAGCTTAAATTCCAAGTCTATCTTTGTTGTAAAAGAGTGCACAATTTATGTTCTCTTCTGTGTGCTTGCATACAAATTATATTTGGAAAAACACACTAAGATATGGTATTGGTTATCTTAAGGCAGTGTGATGAATGATGAGTATGTAGTTTTCGCTTATATTTGATTTACGTGATAAGTTCATGTGCAGGCTTTGATAGGCAAACACGAAATGTTTTTTCAAAGACACATACCCTTTGCTCTATTAACTTCTTTTTCCACCAACACTCATATCAATTTGCACTGTTATAACTCTCCTGATGACTTTAAAATTAGGTGTTTCCTTATGCAGTTTTTCATGCTAGAGTATTCCCATCATCAGAAATGATTATTTCCTCCGACATCACCCAAATTTAGGATCCATATCACCTCTTGCACAATTACTACTACAGCATATTAACAGACTTTTGTGTCATCTCTCCAATCAACTGCATCCATTCTCCACATACCAGTCAATATCTAACTATGCCATTTGTCTATTATAACCCTTCTCATTGCTTTAGTATAAAATCTCAAGCCCCTGATGAGATTTATGAGCACTTCCATAATCTGAGCCTTTGTTCCTCATCTCACACTTGCCACTGCCCCGCTGTAATCTGTCCATCGTCAGGAGACTTCTTTCAACTCTTCTAAGGCTTATTTCTCTGGACTTTTGCACTTGTAGCTTCTTTTATTTGAAATACTCTTCCTCACCCTTATCCCATTTCCATTTTTCCTCAGCTAAACGTGACTCACTATTTGAGCCTTCTCGGCAGAATCATTATTTCCTCGGGGAGTGGGGGTGGGGTGAGGGGGTTCCTTCCTGCTGTCCCCAAGTTAAATTAGGACATTTGACTGCATGTTTCCCTAGCACCTGATACATGCCCTTTGGCATACAAGCACTGATCTTGTAATTGCATATTCAATTAATGTTTTCCCCTCGGAACTCTGAAGTTCTAGAAGATGCTGTGTGTGCTGTTGATTATTGCATTCTCAATGCTGGTACAATACCTATCATATAACCTCCTATGAAATATCTGTAGATTGAGGTAGTGAAGGAAATCTTGTTTTTAATTCTGATAGCTTTCATGGGCCCATAATCTCATACTATAGCCTAACAACATTTAGAAAAAAATTATGCCCAGAGAATAGATCACAAGTAGCTGAGCTTCCCTTTGACTTTCCAAAGGAAACATTTATCCCTTTAGTGATTGTCACTGACTTGAACATCCATAAAGTCAGCTCATTACTTGTTTCACAATAACTGCCTCATGCCACAAAATAAGTAATCATAGTTACTATTAGTAGGGGACATATAAAGTCTTAAAGAAGACTGGTAGAGAGAATTGACAGTTTTGTATATTCTTTTTGAATAGTTTAGAAAAAGAGCACATAAAAACATGTACAAATATATACACAGAGACATATAATTTGCTCTCATATCTTTGGCACATAGAGCAATTAATGTAATTGATATAACATGATTTAAGTCAACAATAACTTTTAAAGATCCTTGATGAGACTCAGCTAAAACAACATAAACACCACATTTCCAATGAATAACAAAGAGGCCATCTAACAACAACAAAGAAAAAATGGAGTAGGCAGCCGAGACAGGTATAAGAAGATATGATAATTTTAAAAAACATAGCCTCAAGGATGATACCATATAATCCCATCACCCACGAATATCAGATGCCTTCTAGTTCAGAGATTTTTTTTTTAACAGATTTGATTTTGAAATCAAAGGACAGACTTTAGTCTTTGTTGAAGTAACGGATGGGAAATCAGATGGCACTCACTTCAGTTCAATGTATGTTTAGTTTCCAAATTCTTTGTTCTTCTACTAGAATAAAAAAAAATAATGGCTTCTCAAAAAAAATAAAATAAAATAAAAAAAATAATGGCTTCTCTTGTGATGAAATTATGTATAAATATACTATCAACCAAAGATACATCCAAATAGAGTACTATGATGATGATGTCTTTTAACAGATGAGTCCCATACCTCTTTTACTACTCAGTATAAAATAGTTCAGATTGTTTAGGTTCACCAGGAATAAGACTACATTTTGCCCCCACCTCATGATTTTCATTAACTAGTTTCGTAGGAAATGCATTATTGAGGTAGATTATTTTAAGAAATTGCTCAAAATGCATTTTATGTCTTTATAAATTCATAATGATATGTTATTTACAAAACAACCAGTAATTTGGTATGATTATGTTCATTTTTAATCCTGGCCATAGTTTGATGTATATCTAAACTTAGTGTGTAACATAAAGGACATAAAACAACAAATTTGATTGAGAAAGGTCAAAGATAAATATAATTTCCAATGACCTTTTCTTTCCTTTGGAAAGGGTTGGGATCTAATACCAAATATACTGAGATGTAGAAACATTATATAGTGCTTCTGAGCATGGTAAAAGGAAGCAGGTTTACATGGACAAGATTAAAAGCAAGTGGAATGTCAGGCCCCTGGGTGGCACAGTTGGTTAAGTAACTGACTCTTGGTTTTTGGCTCAAGTATCATGGCACGGAGTCCCACCTATGGTTCCGACCTCAGCAAGGAGTTGGCTAGGGTTTCTCTATCACTCTCCCTCTGCTCCTCCCCACACACGTGATCTTTCTAAAAATAAATTAATAATCTTAAAAACAAACAAACAAACAAAAACAAGTGGAGTGTACCCGAATTTTCAAATCAAGCCAAAGGTGAATATTTGGGAGAAGCTATTTTCATTTTCAAGTTTCCTAAATCGGAGATAAAGTAATAATCACCCACTTAAAAAAGACCTATTTGTTTTGGAATTATTGAAAGGGTCCAAGAAGAATTTCAGCTTTTTTAAAAAAAATTAACTATAGTAATCTACTGAGCACATAAACTAGGTTTATGGTAATAGAACTTCTGATCGAATAGGTAAAACAAAATTTAGCCTCATATTCCCTTCACCCTAATAAATCTAGAAGGAGGTTTTCCTTTTATTTTCTTTTTCCTCTAGTTGATTTTATGTGGGTTAAGTATGTTCGTACCTCCACTGAAAATGTCACCAGCGACAAACACACTCATCCCTGTTGAAGTAATTTCCAAGTAGCGAAACAGGATATAAAAGTTGGGTTTATTTTTCTTTGAATTGTGAAAGGATTCACTATTTTTAATTAATTATTAATTGGGCTGTATTTTTTTTAATTGGGTTGTAATTAATACATAACGCTAGATTAGTTTCAGGATTCAGTATTTTTGACAAGAGGTAGGCTTCCTATAGCCAGAATCAATTTCTAGGTGCAGGCTCTACCTGGAATGACCATTTGGGTATAAAGTGCTAAATGTAATGGATATTTCAAACAAGATTCCAGGGCTGAAGAATAAAAAGGAAAATCTGGTCATTCAGACTTAGACTGCGACTTCATTTTGATCGAATCC